TCTTCATCACTCCACTGAACCGCATGCGCATGTGCCTTGCACGAAGAGCACTGCCGCATGCTCGTAGGAGCTGGCACCTGCTTCCACCGCAGACGTCGCCTTGGAAATGGCGTCCAGATAGCTGACGGATCACATGTTTCCATTGACCGTCTGGTCCCTCAAGAAGGTCCAGGCACGAATCATCTCGGCAAGTGAACTTCCAGGGATGTTGCCACTGCCAGCCCAGCCAGCTGATGGACAGCTTTCCATAGGAGTGCGACAGGGCCAGCGCCTTTGCCCTGCCTGTTCTTGACTGCAGGCTGCCTGAAAAGGTTCTCTGAGGTCACGTTGGCGCGCGGCGGAGATCCCGCATAATCTGCAGCGCAGTGCCACCTACCTATCACGACGCAAAACGCATCCGCGATCTGCTCACGTGGACGCGATCCATCTGCTGCAGAGGCCTCGTCAAAAGACGAGAAACAGATGTGGTTCTTCATCATCTGTTTGATCACCTTGAAGGCCGTACACATGGGTGGCGGCTGATCCCCACCCGCTTTGGGGGGGAACTCCGCCCAGGCATTTTGCCACTACCCATCACTTTGGCCGCATGTCCGTATTCTGCTGGTAGGTATCCACGCAACCTTTTTGCGCAGTCCTAAAACTGCTGGCTGTGGAGTTTCTCTTTGAGAGGTGAAAAGTCAACCACCGCTTGGCACCTTTCCTTAATTATCATGCGAGCGGCCGTTCCGCACGATGTTGTGACCAAGAAACGTTTTCCTTCGGTGACGCACACCTCGGCATTGTTCTCGCCGAAGGAGAAGCCGAACAGACGGACTTGTCCAAAAACGCTTCCAAAGAGGGCAAATGGTCTGTCAGGTGAAGGCAGGCTCCGGATGGGGACCACGCAGGTCTGCCCCAGCATATCACTGAACAATCTCGAGCACCACGCTGGCCATACGAAATCACATGAGACATCTCGAGTACCACACTGGCCACACGAAACCGCATGGAACATCTCGAGCACCACGCTGGCCACACGAAACCACATGAAACTCAAGTACCAACACTGGCCACACAAAACCACACATGAAGCATCTCGAGCACCACGCTGGCCACACGAAACCAAATGAACATGTCGAGTACCGCGCTGGCCACAGGAAACCACATCACGCATCTCGTCTACCACGCTGGCCACAGGAAACCGCATGAAACATCTCGAGCCGGCCACACGAAACCAGATGAAACATCTCGAGTACCACGCTGGCCACACGAAACCACATAAACGTCTCCTACCATGCTCGCCACACGAAACCGCATGTAACATCTCGAATACCACGCTGGCCACACGAAACCACAAGAAACATCTCGAGTACCACAAAAGCCACACGAAAACATATGAAACATCTCGATTACCACGCTGGCCACACGAATCCGTTTGAAACATCTCGATTACCACGCTGGCCACACGAAACCACATGAAACATTTCGAACGCAACCCTGGGCCCTGGCCACAGGAAACGGCATGAAACATCTCGAGTACCAAGCTGGCCACACCAAAGCACATGAACCATCTCGAGTACTCGGCTGGCCACACGAAACCACATGAAACATCTTTTAGTACCACGCTGCAAAGTCTCGAATACCACGAAACCACCGCTGCGGAACCGCTGCAGAAAGCGCCGAGAACCTGTGCCGGAACCACTCCCGAACCCACTCCGGAACCTGCTCCGGAACCCGCTCCGGAACCCGCTCCGGAACTTTCCGGAACCGGAACCTGCTCCAGAACATTCCAGAACATGCTCCGGAACCCGCTCCGCAACCCGCTCCGGAACCCGCTCCGGAACGCGCTGCGCTCCGGAACCTGAACCCGCTCTGGAACCCGCTCCGGAACCCTGCTCCGGAAACTGCTCCGGAACCCGTTCTGGAACCCGCTGCGGAACCTGCTCCGGAACCCGCACCGGAACCCGCTCCGGAACCCGCTCTGGAACCCGCTCCGGAAACTGCTCCGGAACCCGCTCCGGAAACTGCTCTGGAACCCGTTTTGGAACCCGCTCCGGAACCCGCTCCGGAAACTGCTCCGGAACCACCCGCTCCGGAACCCGCTCCGGAACCTGCTCCAAAACCCAAGGGCTGAAGACCCCATCGCTTCGCTGTTGGGGAAGAAAGGATCGACGCTATGAACCAATGACCCCCCAATCATGATGCAGCAGAACCGATAGAACAGCTATATATGGACCATGGATCATCCCAAGGCCTGCCCTTTTGGCCAAGCGCTCTCTTTGTCCCTCTCAAACGAAGACGGAAAAGGCTACAGTAGCAAGCCACTCCCGTCGGAAGCGTACGAGAGGTGCTGCCTGAACAGCTTCGTGCTCTCAGACTCGGACCTGCGAGATGAGGTTCCTGTTTCGTCAGGTCCGAGTGAAACTTCCAGGATGTCGCATGTAGACCGCGAGATCAGTCGACGGGACGGTTGAAGCACTCCAGGCTTTTCTTTCACGACCATACTAACATACATTACATGTGCACTATGGTCGACATCATAGCTAGTCATGAACGAGGTCGCCTCGGATCTACTGCTCCTCGGACAGCCGTGTGTGCGCATCGAGCTGGTCTGGGGCTATCAGGGACGATCGGCGAAAAACCGTGCCCGTAAGTCCGTAAGCTGGCAAAAACGGCACGGAGACATACAGACACTGTGACGGACGCCACCAACGCTGTCGAACATCCGGAAGGCTTGCCCTCGGTGTGGTATATATTCGATATCCATTGCACGCTGGACACGTCGTGGTCTTTGCCCGGGTTCTGCTCCTTCAGT